GAGATATTTGTATGCCTCCCTATCGATTGATTTATACTACTGCAGGATACAAACTCCATCTAAAGATTCTTCGATGGTATAAATTAACTTTTACTAATATGAAAAATTTATTTATCGGTATTTTCAACAACTGATTAATAAAATTATTAAAGTGTATAAATAAAATCAGATATACAATTTTGTGTGATACCTTTCGTAATTAAATTTCTATATCTTTCAAATTTATCATTTCGTATTAAATTTAATTACTTCGTGATAAATAATATATTTTGCTTTTTTACAAATAATTATATAGATAATGATCATAACAGATTTCATTTACTTTTATCATGCAAGTAGACGATGAAATTTTTTCAAAATTTAATAATAATTGATGTTTAAATAAATTTAGAAAAATATATATGTGTAATTTAAAAAATTTTTTAAAAACTAATTTTTTATAAAAATTCATATAAATCATATACACGAATAATAATGTTCGTTTCTTGCTCTATTTTTATATTCCTTCTTACTCTATCACATATTCCAAATTTAAGAATTTTTATTTTATAATTAATCTACTGCGTTTTGTTTTCTGAATTCTATCCGAATTGTTAACTAAATAGGTATTGCCGGTAAGTTAGACATCGATTAAAAAGTTTCCGCGGTTAGCGCCATCTCGCGTTTGGATCACCGAAGCTTCGACTCGTTACTAGCATAGCAGAATAGGCAAGGAGGTATGCGAAGTCGTAGACAAGGAAAGCACTATTGCGCGAGAAGGATAGACAGCTTTCCCCCACCACTGCGGAAACGATACATGGAATATTAATTAATTACTCGTTTTTTACGCAAAATTTCTATACTTTTAAGATCGCATCTTGAAGCTAGAACTTCAGACAACTTTCCAGTATCAATTTTCATGGTAAATTCCTTGTCATTAATTAATTATTAACGATTAATGCGTTCTACGTTCTAATCAATCGAAGTCGCCATATTGAAAATTTATTAATTACGCGCTTTCTACGCAAAATTTCGGCACTTTTGAGATCGCATCTTGAAGCTAGAACTTCAAACAAGTTTCTCGTATCAATTTCAATCTAAAATCTTTTGTATTTATTTATTTATTAACGATTAATACCGATTAACGCATCATACGTTCTAATACATCGAAAACGCTATATTGAAAATTCATTAATTACGCGTTTTCTACGCAAAATTTCGGCACTTTTGAGATCGCATCTTGAAGCTAGAACTTCAAACAATTTCTCGTATCAATTTTAATCTAAAATCTTTTGTATTTATTTATTTATTAACGATTAATACCGATTAACGCATCATACGTTCTAATACATCGAAAACGCCATATTGAAAATTCATTAATTACGCGCTTTCTACGCAAAAATTCGAGACTTTTGAGATCGCATATTAAAGTCAGAACTTTACACGAGTTTCTCGTATCAATTTTAATATGATGTTTTATTTCATTAATTATTTATTAATAATTTATTGAAAACGCGTCTTCAATATATTAGAATATATGACACGTTATCGTTATTAATCGTATTATAATTAATTAACGACAAAGAATTTTATATTAAAATTGATAAGAGAAACTCGTGTCAAGTTCTAGCTTTAATATGCGATCTTAAAAGTATCGAAATTTTGTGTAGAAAGCGCGTAATTAATGAATTTTCAATATGGCGTTTTCGATGTATTAGAACATATGACGCATTAATCTTTAATAATTAATTAATAACAAGGAATTTTATGTTAAAATTAATACGAGAAACTTGTTTGAAGTTTTAGCTTTAAGATGCGATTTTAAAAGTATAGAAATTTTGCGTAGAAAACGTGTAATTAATGAATCTTCAATATGATGTCTTCGATGTATTAGAACGTATGACGCGTTAATCGTAATTAATCGTTATTAATTAATTAATGATGAAGAATTTTATGTTAAAATTGATACGAGAAACTCGTGTGAAGTTCTCACTTTAATATGCGATCTTAAAAGTGTCGAAATTTTGCGTAGAAAGCGCGTAATTAATGAATTTTCAATATGGCGTCTTTGATTGATTAGAACGCATGACGCATTAATCGTTAATAATTAATTAATGACAAGGAATTTACCATTAAAATTGATACTGGAAAGTTGTCTGGAGTTCTAGCTTCAAGATGCGATCTTAAAAGTATAGAAATTTTGCGTAAAAAACGAGTAATTAATTAATATTCCATGTATCGTTCCGTAGTGGTGGGGGAAAGCTGTCTATCCTTCTCGCGCAATAGTGCTTTCCTTGTCTACGACTCCGCATACCTCCTTGCCTTTTCTGCTATGCTAGTAACGAGTTGAAGCTTCGGTGATCCAAACGCGAGATGGCGCTGACCGCGGAAACTTTTTAATCGATGTCTAACTTATCGACAAAATGTATTTCATTCACAATTGAGATACAATTCGAAATAGAAACGAATTAATTATAATGTAAAAATATTAGAGCGGATAAAATATTAAATTTAATTTAAAGTAAAAAGGAATAATAGAGTAAGAAAAGAATATTACTATTTATGTTTGTGATTTATATAGATTTTTATAATAAATTAACTTTTTTATAAATTAAATATATATATTTTTCATATATATTTTTGTATTTTTTCGGTACTTTTCAAAAATATGAGCTTAAAGGATTAATTACGTAAATGATAAGTACTAGACGGATAAATATAATTAATATTAAATAAAATGGAGAAAAAAATGTTCTTTCTGGAAATGTGTTGCCTGAAAAGTTCATAAACGTAAGTATAAAAGGTAAGTATATTAAATTTTAAAACATATTTTTCCATTTCTTGGAAGTAACATCAAATTCCTGGAAATTCCGAAATTCTTCCGAAAATAATATCAGATTTTTGGAATTTTCGTTTCTTTACAAACATCGGTCTGTTTATTTTGATTTTCAATGCTTATTTACAAAAATTTTCGGAAATTTTCGTTTGTTTACAAACCCTGATTTGTTTGTTTCTCTTTTCAATGATTATTAGTTACATTTTTTTTTGCGAGAATTCTTGGAAATGACGATTAATTCCTGGAATTCTCGAAATTCGTTCGTTTTTTCTGATCGTTTCATTAATCTTCGAAATATACTTACCTTTATACTTATTATTATACTTACCTCTACAATTTCCATTTCTTGCGATATTGAATTTTTTTTTTTTTTTTTTTTCTTGACGGTTTTCTTAATTCCGAGTATACTTACCTTTTGAGTCTTTCAGTATTTGAAATACTAAATTTTTGTCATAATGTTATAATGTAAAGGATACTGGAATATGCCGGAACGTCTAATTTTTATCATCTAGAATATTTTCTGAATTGTTTTTGATAATGTGTTAAAATATTACAGAGGGAAATAGCTTCCAAGAAAGACGCGTCCTGATGTAATTAATTTTTTCCTACGTGGACACGTAGAAGTTTTTAGTAAAAGTCAACCTTGTTATCCTATATGGAATTATATGTTTTTTAATGTCCAAACAACGCAATTCTCCTTTTTTTTTTTCTAAAAAAATGTCAATCTTAAAAATATTAAATTAAAAAAGTACTAAGTTTAAGGGATAATAAAATAGTCTTTTAAAAGTTTTTTCACAAGAAACAGGATGGATTACATCTATTAATGTATGCAAAAGTATAGTAAAAGTCATATAATTCCATTGAAAAGGAATAATTTGACCGATCTTTTACAAAGAAGATCATATCATATCATTTTTCCATCTGAAATATTTTTCAATATTATCAAAACTAAACGAAACATTTTATGATTAGATTAGATCAAAACGGATAAAGAGGATGTAAAAGGAAGAAAGAAATTAGGGAGATTAACGATCGAACCGATCGAACGAGTTTTAATCGTGAATTCGAGACAGCATCGTCTTTCTAAACAAAATAATCCATCGTCTTCTTTTCTAGAAGAATGGTCAGAAACTTGGTCAAAAAATAAATATACGTTTAGTTTCGCGAAACAAGACTCGTTGCCTCGTTTATCCTGACGTTGAACCTTAAAACAATCATTCATTTCTGTTAATTTAATACTGGTTATTCCGTTCACGTTCGGAATGGTAGTCGGTAGACGTTAAATTAGTTTATTCGAAATGGTAAGTTTCAATGAAACGTGATCGTTTTAGCGAATCAGCGTGACGTCAACTGTAACGATGAATTAAAAATAGATTCCATGAACGGAACTTATGATATATGTATATATATATATATACACACACACATAAAATTTCTTGTTTATGAGAAGATTTCAACTTGGTTATTTATGGGTGACGAACTTGCGAATTCTAATTAAGGATTAAAAAGATCTCTCCGAGTTTTCGGAGAGAGATCTCTAAATGCTGGGATTAAGAGACATTTTTTCTTCTCTCTCTCTCTCTCTCTCTACGTGAATCTTTTTCAGCCTCGCTCCCTGAGCGAATCGTATTTTTCGCTTCGTTTCTAGAATTCGAAGCTTTATTATTACGTTAATGCATAGAGTTGAACCTGTAATTAATTTCACCAAGAGAAAAAAATAAAAATTAATAAATCAAGAACAAATGTTTCACGAACATATTATCAAATGTATAATACTTGAAATGATCGATTAATTAAAATGATCGTAAAGAGATACGAGATCACCTGTCATTTCGGGAGAGGAAGAGGAAAAAGGAATGGTGCACAGGATGAAAAAAATAACTTTTCCTCTTGATCCGCGCTTACTCGTCGTCGTAAACATCGTCGTCGGATGGCGACAAAATCGATCGACCAGTTTATCGTTCCTTCACCTGTCCCCTTCGATATCTCGAATTAAATCGCGGCTGGAGGCAGCAAACAGGGGCGACCGAATGGCCGTTCGTAAATGAGAAAAAATAAAGAGAGAGAGAGAGAGAGAAGGAAGGAAGAATCGTTACGGGCGTAACTCGCGAGTCGTAAAAGAAAAAGAAAGAAGAAAAAAGAAGAAGAAGAAGAAGAAGAAGTGTAGTAATTTGTATCGACTCACCAGATATTGAGGAACTTTTCTCGCACCTTCCGCTTCATGCTGTCGCTCTTCCGTCGATACTGCAATCTGCGGCAGGAATCCGCGTAGAGAGGCTCCGGAAGCTGTTTGTAGAAACCTGAAAGTGGCAGCGGTCTCGAGATTGAACCCTTCTAAAATCCTTCCAACCTTCCCCTACGTTTTCCTCCTTGATCGAAATACCTCCCTTCCCGTTATTTATCCACCGCCAATTATTATCTCCAATTTTCGAGAGTTTGTCATACGAGAAAATTACGCGGGGGAAAAATTGTGTAATTGTTGATGTACCGTTGAGGTAAAGGTCGATGAGCGCGTGTGGGTACGGATAATACGCGTTTGGCCAGGAAGCGAAGATAGGAATAGCTGGGACGGTTCCTTGCACGGGCAAATATTTATTCAGCGGCAGACGCGTTGGACCGATGCGCTGTTTATTCGCGCGTATATCCATCGTCTCGGGCGGATCGCAATGATTTTTCCGTTCGCCCTAAGTGGTTGGAAATTTTTCCAAATCACCTTTCGTTGGGAAAAATAATAATAATGATTCATGAAGGAAGGAAGGAAGGAAGGAAGGAGAAGAAACGTTTGTGTCGAGAAAAATTGGATTGGATATCGAAAAAAAAAAAAAAAGAAAAAACGAACGAGGCCGTTGTTTCATTTTTCGGACAGGGGGCGAGAGAGAGGAGCGTGGACAAAAGAAGAGAAGAGGAGGGAGCGAGGAGAATGAAAAATTCGAAAGGTTTGGTCCTTTATTTTTCGACCACTTTGTGCAATTTTGCGCACGAACGGTGTTTTCGCGCCACCGTCTACCGGATTAAATTATACACGGAACCAGGAATGATTCACCTTTGTTTCCAGATATTCAATTCCCATTTTTCAATCGGTCAATTTCGTATCGTCGACCTTCGGAACGATCGAAAAAAGGAAAAAGTTGCGCGAGAGATGCAAAGAAAGTAACAATAAAGGGCTTCTTTTTAAAAATATATATTCCTTTTTTTAACGCCAGAAGACGATCGTTTCGCAATCTTCTTAAATTCTTCGATTAATCAAAATTTTTAATAAGCAAATTTAATATGGTTGCGAGAGTATACATACACACATACATACATATGTATATATATAAGAGGCAAACTTACTCAGCCAACTGAGTTGGTCGTTGTGCTCCAACTTGTTCTTGAAACTGTCGACCTGCCGCTTCAGTTCACGAAGAGCGAACGAAGGCGATGCGTACAGAGCTTCTTGATGCTCCCGAAGTTGCCGTTCCAAGGCCGCCACACGTCTCTCGAGAGCCCACAGCACTTCCGCCTCGATCACCCCCGACGAGGCCGGATGAGCTCCGACGATCTTAAAAAAGAGGAAATATACTTCTTCCAGCCAACTTCCATCAAATCGGCCGCGTCCTTTTAACCATCTCAACCTCGATCACCCTTCTTCCAATCTAAATGATAAAAGGGTATCGCTGTTGCGTTCCATTTTCAATTTTAATTTAAAGAAGAAGAAAAAAAAAAAAGAAAGAAACGAAGGGACTGCCGCGATCCAAAATTAACGCGAAACGCGTTATGCGCGTACTTGAAAATAATTTACACGCGCGTATACAACGTATAATTATTAAAAAAGAAATAATAATAATAATAATAATAATAATAATAATAATAATGAAACAAAATAATTCAACGTAATTTAATTATACCTACGTAATTACTGCAACCGGTGTAATATCCATTTGCATCGTAATTATTTTTTCACCTTCAATTTAACGTTTATTATTAAAATTAATGCCTCGTCAAGGGAGAAGAGAGAAATTTCGCGGAGAGAGATTAAATTTCGCGCGGATCATTGAGCGCAGAGCGAGATATGATTCCGCCGAATCTCGAAGAAGGAACATGATTTTATCATCGATCGATTAATCGAGAGGATCTCGACACCGTCTCTTCTCGATACATCGCGAAACGAAGAGAAACTTTTCAATACGAGATGGTGGAAAAGTTTCGACAAACACATTCCTCCTCTACTTTTAAAATTAGAAATAAACTTAATGCACAATTCTCGAAAAATTTCTATCCCGGGATCAAAGCCGTTAATTTAGAAGAAAAAGAAGAGGAAAAAAAGGGCTTCGAGTTTCTTGGCATTACAATAGGGAAGAAAAAGCCATTCCTTATTCTATCGTATAACGATCGGATAAAAGTTTTTCGATTCGAAACGACTTCATCGACGTTAAAAAAAAAAATTACACAATTGAAAGGAGGAAATGCGAAAAGATCGGTGAAAGAAGTGGAAATATATATATATATATATATAGGCGATAATACAAGAAGTGCGGAAGAATCGTTACCTGAAGGACATAGGGAGAATCGGGTGTGTTCGCCGGCAAATTAGTCGAAATGTTCAACAGTTTGTCCCCTTTGCAAAGCTTCACGATGTCCAGAGGTCCAGCCTCTGCTGCATTCCTAAAGAGTTCTGCAACAAACGTATAAGGAAATTGTCAGAGAAATCGTTATCGTTAAAGGAGGATTTTATAATAATTTCCAACAACCATGCGTCACAAGCGTCATAAATATTTTATTCTCGAATATACGAGAACATCCGCTTTTACGATATTAAACGCGATTAAACGCGTTTAACGTCGCGAAAAAGTTTCATGCAAATATATTTGGAGAGATAACAGAATTATAGAATTATAGAAATATAAAAGTCCAATTATTAATCGGACGGATATGGGGAAACTTTAACGAACGCGCGAAATCAGAATTATTATGCCAATAGCCAAACTTTCAATGGCCAATTAACAATTAATAATATTTCAAAGCCTCGATAAACAAGCTTTTCGATACGATAATAAACCCGAAAATCTCGTTAAAGTCTCGATTAAAGCAATTCAATTCCCCCCCCCCCTCCCCCTCCCACTCCACAATTTTCGATCGCCTACACATCCCTGAGCCGACAGAGTGCAACGAGAGAGCGTCTACGCTCCGTTCGAACGAACGAACGATCATTTCGATCGTTAACTCTGGTCAGGGTCAAACGTTTCCCCGTGACAATTCCACGGGGGAAAACAAACGACGACGTGGCGTTAAAAAGAAAAAATAAGGGGAGGGGGAGAGAGAGAGAGAGAGAGAGAGAGAGAGAGAGAGAGAGGAGGAGGAGGAGGAAGAAGAG